GGATTAACTTAAAATTTTTAAATTTAACCAAGTTCTCTTCTGTATGGTGTTTTTTTAATACGTTAAAGGCATGTTTACTAAGTTTCAGTGCATCTTGACATTCAGCATTCCACCATGGGACCGTCTGTTTACGTTTTGGCCTGCTTGTTTTACCTATAGTTTCTTCTGCAGCTTTTATAATCACTGTAGTGAATTTTTCAACGATGAAATCAATATTAGTTTCCAATGGTCCTAAGTGGAGTATAGAGATTTTGAAAAAATTTTGATAACTTTCCCAATCTGCATTATTGATTTTCCTCTTTTCTGGAAAGGATATTTCAGTATTTTTGCCTAATGCGTAGTTGGTTATTGATATATACTAGTGATCGCTATCATAGGTATGATGTAGTACTTTCCAGTTTAAATTTGGAGCTAGCGAGCTTTCGCATATAGAGAGATCGATAGCGGAATGTTTACCAGTAATTGAGTTAAGCAAGACAAAGTCAGTTAAGCTTAAAAATCTTTCTATAGTATTACCTCTTTTATCTGTAGATAGACATCCCCATATTGTACTGTGTGCATTAAAGTCTCCTACTATTATTCTGGGTTTTGGAATTTGTTCAATCAACATTTCGAGTTGTTTGGCAGTGATATCGGTATCTGATGGAATATATATATATATATATATATATATATATATATATATATATATATATTGCATATAGAATATTGTGTTAAAGATTTTATTTTAACTGCTACAACCTCTAATTCTGATTGTATAGGGATTTCCTCTGATTCCAACTGTGAATTAACATAAATGGATACGCCGCCACTAGCTTCACCAGCATTTCTTCTAATTTTATGGTAGGCCTCATATTTTCTAATGAGTATTTTTTATTTGTTGTGAAATTTGTCTCTTGTAAGCAGATAACTTGTGGATGTGTTTCTTTAATTAAAAGCTGTAGCATTTCTTATGTGTAAATACAGATTGAATGTTCCATTGAATAATAGCCATTTTGTTAACTTTTTGTTTTTTTTTTATTTATTGTTGGTGGAAGTATTTTCCTGTGATGTGTCAGTATCTTCAGAAGTGTCGTCATGAATACTAAAATCTTGGTTTATTTTTCTAAGTAGTTTTTTTTTATTCTTGTAATTCTATATTTAATTGCTCTTTCGTTCAACATGGGATATCAAAAATATTTATTATTATGAAATTGTTATACAATAGGTTATTTAAATTAACACTTTAAACATTCAGTTACATTTTAGTTCTCATCACTGTTCTCATCTATGACTGGTTCAACATCAGATGTAAAAACTTCTGATAGAATTTTTGCTGGTCTTATGATCCTCGATTTATATATTGCATTACTGAGATAATATATGACTGCGGCTACATGAGAACACGAACCCACACTGCATAACCCATTTGCACAGTCACATGTGTAGCGCAAAATACCACCATATTCAATTGAATCAGGATTATACTCAATGTAACATTTATATGTCTTACTGCTTATATACCTGGATCTTATCAGTACTTTAATATTTGGTTTTATTGTAATATACTCCAAATTGATTTTATTACTATCATGCATCAACTCAGCCAAATAGCAAATGACTTGACCTAACGGATAGGTTACCGAAAAAAAATTTGGAGGTCCCTGGAAAGTTAGTAGGATGTCTTGACCACCTGGCTGTCTCAGCTACTAATGCTGAAGTATTCTCACCTTGATTAAATTTTAAAATTTTTTAGATTATTATATCCTGTAATCCATCATCAATTTGATCATTATTCAAACGCTTACCAAATAAATTGTTAATTAAACATGCTATTTTACAATATGCACCAGCTTTTGGTATAAGTTTATTATCCAACTGTTGATGAAGAAGCTTATATTTTTTGCTAAGAATTCCATGAATGGCTTCTACAACCCACTTCAATTTAGTTACATACCGTGGTCAAATTGGATCTTTTTCCTTTTAAGGCAGACATAAGAATTAGAAACAATGTCTGCAACGCGCATAACCCAATTATCGTTGTCATGTCTACGGATCAACCTACCAAAAGCAGCCCATGACAATTGTGTCCTTCTTTTAATTTCTAGGGTTTGATTTTCCTTTTCGTTTTTAATTCCATGTACCATTATATATATATATATATATATATATATATATATATATATATATATATATATAATATATATATATATATATATATATATATATATAATGTTGCTTAATATCTTTGTTATGTCGAGATTCATTTTTAATCTCATTTGGATTTTAGTTCATGAATATCTGTGCTTATTAGTACTATGTCGTCTGCAAAACGCAAATGATTAAGATTTACTCCATCTATTTTTAATCCCTTTTTGGCCTAATTTAGTTTTTTGAAGGCATTTTCTAATGCTAAAGTAAATAACTTGGGTGAGATTGTGTCGCCCTGTCTCACACCTTTGTCAAGGTTCCACTTTCATAGTTTCCAGATCATCATCTATTTTTACTTGAAAAGTAGCATCATCGTATATATTCTTAAGGAGGGCAACATATCTTGAATCTACTCTGGCGTCGTCCAATGCTGTTAAGAAAGCCAATTTCTCGATATTGTCGAATGCTTTGTGATAATCAACAAATGCCAGATGTAGTGGTATGTTGTACTCTATTGTTTTTTCAATAACTGTCCGGATTGTTTGCAAGTTATCGATAGTGCTAAAACCCTTACGAAAAACTGCTTGTTCGACTGGTTGGTATGCATAAAGCTTAGCTGTCAATCTATTTGTTATTATTCGGGTTAGTAGTTGATAAAGGTGTGACAATAAGCATATTGGTCAGTAGTTTTCTATATTTGCGGTGTCCCTTTTTTTATGAAGTAAAATGACTTCCGCATTTTTCCATGCTTTTGGTATTTGTCCTTCCAATAGGCATTTATTCAGTAATGCTCTCATTGCCTCTTCTAATGCAGTGCCTCCCATTTTTAGCATCTCTTAAGTAATTTTATCTTCTCCTGGTGTTTTCCCATTTTTTATTTGTTTTAGGGCGGCTCTAATTTCTGATGTTATTATTTCAGGGAGATCCTCTGAGCCCACATTTAAGATATGTTTTGTTGGTATACCGGAGTTCGGAATAGTAGAAGTATACAGCTTCTCATAAAATTTTCGGATTTCTCTAACGATCTCTTCCTTATGCGAGCACAATGTTCCACGGTCGTCTTTTATCTTTATGATTTTATTCCTGTCAGTGGATTTACATGTTTTTAGTACTTTCATGTTCTTATTGTTTTCTATGGTTACACGACTCTGGTTTGTTCTATAAGCTCTGAGGTCTTTTCGACTATTTTTCTTAGCAGTTCTGTTGAGCGCTTTATAGTCCGGGTTATCTCTGTTCGTTCTTCTTCTTTTCTCTATCTGTTTTAGAGTCTCGGGTTTTAGTTAAGCTTCTTTTTGTTTTCTTATTCAGCAACAAAGTTTCTTAGTAACTGTTTGTATGTTTTTAGTTATTTTCTCAGTTATTTTTTCTATATTCTTATGCTCAAAGTTATTTGTTAGTAGTTTCCGTGCTAATTCCTCATGATATTTCTCTTTATTACTGGCTAGGATATCTACCGTCGGTAAAGCGTTTGTTCTTAATAGTTTTCGTCTTTCTCTCTTTACGTTAATACGTATATCGGCACGAACTAGTCTATGGTCACTGCCGGTGTTAAATTTGTTCAATACCTCGATGTTTTTACATATTGATCTATCACTGGAAAGGATAAAATCTATTTCATTCTTAACCTGGCCGTCAGGACTACACCATGTCCACTTTCTGTGTATTTGTTTTTTATCGAACGTGTTCAGGCAAAACATTTTTTCGGTTATTACGTCATTTGCTAATGTTTCTCCTCTCGTGTTTCTGTTGCCTAGACCGAAATTTCCTATGTGGTCTGAGTTGCCTTGTATTCGCAAAGTGTGTTTTTTCTAAATCTTTAGCACGCGTTATATCTTCGTAGAGTTGTTCTATTGACTCGTCATCCGCAGTGAAAGTTAAAGCATAGCAGTGTATTATCTGTAAGCTATATCGTTTATTCAGTTTTAATACAAGATATATCACTCTTTCCGAGACTGCTGAGTATTTCATAATCTGGTGTTCTATTCTTCGGTTGGCCATGAAAGCCACTCCTTCTTGGCCGTGGTTCTCTTATAAATTATATTGGCATAGAGTGTGCCCAGATGTTAGGGTAGCCTTTTTCTCTTCTTGAAGTCTCGTTTCACATAAGCCTACAATATCCCATTTAATAGCCCCTAGTTCCTGCTCTAATTTCTCTAGATTGTCGTTCATTCTCATGGCTCTAATGTTGTATGTAGCAATTTTAAATTTTTGAAAATTAATTTGTTTATTTTTGTCATGTATTTTTGATCTTCTGCCTTCCCCAGAATCCGTAAGGCAGTCCATATTGGAGTGGGATTCTGAGTTATAAATTCTACCCACCTAGAGTACTATATTTTTAAATCTCGATTTATGCATGAATATATTGAAGGGATAATGACAATTAAAACGCCACGCTTGCCGAGAGGGTTGACGAGTTTAGATTTCAGCCGCCCCTAACCTGGAGTCAGACGCTGTTTGCAGCCGTCCATTCTGGATCAGACGCTGCTTGATTTTATACCAGCAATAAAATCACGGGATTGCCACTTCGGCCATCCGCACTGTACCGAAGGTTTGCTTCTCCGCCGTGGTCTGCCATCTTCATCCGTAACCCTGGACAAGGGATCCTAAACAGGTGCTAGTTTCCCAGGTCAGGAAACCAATGGAATTTGCGGAGGGCAGGGAACGATTCCTTTTCCCTGACAGGACTGTCTGAAGAGGTCCTACCCTCTATCCACTTACCCACCTATATATTATATCTGTCTTAAATTTTTCAGACACCCAGTCTTCGAACGACCCCCAGTATATTTCACAGAAGAGCTAACTATTCTAAATAAACTCATCCCACAAATTCGCGAAGATGTTATAAACGAATCGTTAGTTTATTTGAATAACATTCCAAAATTTCGAAAACACTTCGAAAATCTTTTCACTAACTTGGTGGAAAATATTAAGACGAAATATATGCCTTCTGCTACAACAACAATACATGCGTACAAGCATTTTAATAAGGATTACACGGAAGATGACTTGATGAAGGCCGGGATTTTAGGATGGTGCTTTAAATTGGTAAGATGCATTTTTTTATATTCTAATTTGTTAATTGAAACCTGTATCTTGTTTTAAAAGTTAATATTATATATATATATATATATATATATATATATATATATATATATATATATATATATATATATATATATATATATATATATTATAATGAAAACAGAAATACAATAAATTAACTTATTTAGAAATATATACAACCAGATATACAGTGTTGATTAGTGGATTTATTTAAATAGTGGTTAGAGACATAATTTGTAAGTTATATACTGGATAATATTATTAAAAAATAATTATATGAGAGTATTTTTAAGAATTTAGCATTAGAATTATGTTTAAGAAATTTTTTTTATTTTATTTAATATTAGATATTTTTAAGTCAGCATATGCAACCAAACATACACTGTAGTGTCAAAGTCAAAAAGTTATTTATTTTTGGAATGTTAATTTAGAATATAATTGTGGATGTAAAATTGTAAAAATATAGTTCATATAACTGTTTAATTTACATATAATAGTGTACTTCTGATCTGGAGAGCCTAAAGTCAAGTAAAGTATAGATAGAAAACTCTAGAGATGTCAATGGGCTGTATACATAATACATCACAGACAAAAAAACCATTCCAAAATTTTCAAAATGGAAAAAATAGAATGAATCGAATTTTATTTTTTGCTAGAATATTCTGGAAAGAAAAAAGATTCAGTTATCAGTTATCAGTTAGTAAAGTTATAATTCAAGAATTTAGTTACAAGAGGATTATTAATTGAGTAAAGTAAGTTAGTTAGAAGATATTAAATCAGTTACAAGATTATTATTAAGGAGTTAGTTATAACAATTTAACGATTATTAAGTCAGTTATTTATGAGGTTATGAAGAGATTATTCAATGCTAGAAGAAGGCATTGATTAAGTTAAATGAATTATTAAGTTAAATACAGTTGGAGATTAATTATTACTACAGTAATATAGTGACAGTTTTGAAGTTAATTCATTGAAATAAGCATTCAATAATACAACCACAAGATCCAGTATATTTCAAAGTACATTAAGTATATGGAAATTACAAGGAGTTAAATATATATTTATATGGTAAGTGGAGATAATTAAGAAGGAAGATATTAACATAGTTGGATAACCAAGGCTTAGTAAGAAGATATCGAGTGGTGATAATAACTAATTTTGGAAAAACTTTAGGCGTTCAGTGAAAGAAGGTACCAAATTTTGTTGATAATTTAATAATTGTAAGAATTTTAAATTTTAGATAGATTATTTTAAATTGATATTGCTTATATTAGATAGATAGGTTTGTTTCATAATATTTATAACAAAGATAATTTAAAAAAGTACTTACAAACTAATTCTTTGAGAACCGCGATAAAAACCCTATACTTACATATATCATTCAAATTTACTCATTGCTCATACAACAACAACACATAATAACAATATATATATATATATATATATATATATATATATATATATATATATATATATATATCTTCTTCTTCTTCTTCAAGTGCCCTGTCCGTTGCGAACGTTGGCTATTAACATGGCAATTTTGATCTTGTTTGCGGCGCTTCTGAATAGTTCGACCGATGTGGGCCCGAACCACTTCCGCAGATTTTGGAGCCACGAGTGTCTTCTCCTGCCTGGCCCTCGCTTACTGTCTATTTTTCCCTGGACAATCAATTGTAGCAGACGGTACTTATCGTGTCTCAATATGTGGCCTAGATATTCAAGCTTTCTTTGTTTAATTGTCTTCACGATTTCTTTCTCCTTTCCGATTCTTTGGAGTACCTCTATGTTGGTGACATGTTCGGTCCAGGATATACGAAGAATGCGTCGGTACACCCACATTTCGAATGCTTCTAGTTTTCTCGTTAGCGTCTCCGTCAGCGTCCAGGCCTCCACGTCACACAGCAAGATCGGAAAAATGTAGCATTTAACTATACGTAGTTTTAGGGGAAGAGACAAATCCTTGCTTATGAGGAGCTTTTTCATATTGCTAAATGCTGTAAATATATATATATATATATATATATATATATATATATATATATATATATATATATATATATATATATATATGTTCGGATAGATCTCCGAAAAATAGATCACTTGAGAAAGGCAATCAGCCGAAACAGCTGTAGTGATAATAGTTCAAATAAATTTTGTGGAAGTTTGAAAACAAAGTTTTCAGTGTTTTATTGTTACATTTTTAATTCTAGTTAGAATCCAGCACAGAGCAGATTATGATTAACTGCTGCGTCTGCACTTGGGAATGTTTTTGCAAATGGAATAATGTTTCTAAAGCTTTTTTAATGATAATGTAGTTGATTTGATTTTTGACTACTTTTTCTTTCCAGGTATATAGTCGACTTTTAGGTTGTTGCAACAAAGTATTTGCTATAATGAAATTCTGTCTTACTCCTCTATATATGGAGATTGTCTCTGTCAACTGGTCATCCACTTTAATGTGGGCAGTTTGGTTTTAATATAAATTACATATAATTTGCAAGTCTCTATCCATCCAAGACCGGTCCTTCAAGATGGATATGAGCTTGTCATGTTTTACTCCATCAAATGCCTTTTTGTAGTTAATAAAACAAATATATACATCACTGTTAACATCATTGCAACTCTAGATAACCACTTGTATAAATATATCTATAGTATATTTGAAGAATAAGCTGGAGTAAATTCTCAGAAAAAAAACTAAATTGTTAAGCATATTTTAGTACGTGTGGTTTTCGTACAACGTCAATATTTAAGCTTATTTTAAGTTAGTCATAGACGTACTTTAAGGGTATTACATTATTTGTTTCGGTTTTTTAGATATTTAAACCATTTTCAAAGCATATTATATTTATATAAATCTGTTTATTTTAGTAACGTTATTTATGGTTATTTTTGTCGTAATGTAATGACCCATTAAATAACAAGAAATAAAGATACTCTTAAATACATAGGTATTTAGTTAATGGTCTTTTGATAGTTTAGATAATAAAGGTCGGTTAGCGAAAGATGGTTTCTGATAAATGTTAACGCTATCTTAAATAGTATAAATTTCGATTTTGTTTGGAAAACCAATGATTCATAAACTGGTTATTGGTCTTTAAATAGTTATTCATTAATATCATAAAATTTTTGTTGTTTGAATCATTTTTCACTTAACGAAAAGAGTGTTATCCTTAACGTCTACAATTATTTTAAGCAACACAATCCTTCCGATACTGTTTATAGTATAGTTGAAATTTCGTCTAAAGTAATGGGGTATTCAAAATCAACTGTATATAACATTTTAAAAGAGGACAAATCAGCTGGTATAACGCCACCTAAACCGAGACCAGGAAGACCAAAATTGTCGAAAGTGAATGTGGATGAATTTTTTAAAAATGCAATTCGTAGAATGGTCCACTCATTTTTTTTTAACAAACAAATACCAACTTTAGATAAAGTTTTACAAGCCACTACCAACGATCCCGATTTACCCACAGTAAGTAAAGACAAACTTTGGAAAGTTTTGCATGAGTTAAAATTTAAGTATGAAGAAGTGGGCTGACAGTCAATGCCTATCGATTCCGAAGAAATTGTGTGTTGGATACGAGACCACCTCAGAAAAATAAAAAAAATGAGGACAGAAAATAAGAACATTTATTATTTAGATGAAACGTTTGTTAATGAAGGGCATACTGTAGGGAGAGTTTGGAAAGAGAAAACCATAAAAATATATCGACAAGCATTTCTGGAAGGATATTCACCTGGTTTTAAGGAACCAATTGGTAAAGGTCGACTATTAATTGTTACCCATATAGGTAGTATGAGTGGATTTCTTAAGGAGGGTTTACTTTTTTTTTTAATTAAAAAAGACCTGTGATTATCACGAAGAGATAGACGGAGACGTGTTTGAAGAATATTTCGAACAGATGATTGAATTTATAGCTAAAAATTCAGTTATTGTGATGGACAATGCAAGTTACCACTCTAGATTAGTTGAACGTTTACCAACTACTCAATGGAGGAAAGATGAAATTGCAATGTGGTTAACTTCTAATAATTTAATCTTTGACGATACAATGACAAAAGCAGTATTATTAGAGCTTGCTAAAATTAATAAACAAAATTATAAAAAATATGTCATTGAGGAAATAGCCAAAAAACAAGGAATTGAAATACTTCGCCTACCACCGTATCATTGTGAGCTAAATCCGATTGAATTAGTATGGGCCGAAGTTAAAAGTAACGTTGCTCGAAATAATACAACTTTTAAATTGTCAGATGTTATTATTCTTTTACATAAATCAATATCCGGAGTAACGATTGAACATTGGCAAAAATGTATTATCACGTTATGGATATTGAGAAAAATATGTGGGAGCTTGATCATATAATAGATAGCAGTATAGAACCTATAATAATTCATCCCGGATCGGATAACACTTGATCTGAAACAGAATATGAGGAAGCTTAACTTTAAACTGTAGCTCAGAAGTTTATTTTACATTTGAACTAATTGCTGACAACTTCATTGTTTATTTTTTATTGCTAATATAATTTTCATTCTTATTTCCAATATTATTAGTATTAAGAATATTATTATTTATTAATAGGAATATATAAAAACTTACAGTTTTTGTGTATGTATTTTGCGTTTCAGTATAATTTATTGTATTTTATTATTTTATATTAACTGTATGTTTCACAAATAATAGAATTTTTATTCGTTTTATGTGTATCTTTTTATTTTAAACCAGTATCGGATTGGATTAATTACTTTGTTCTAAATATCCAAATAAATTTAACGCAAACTTTTCTTTTAAGATTACGTTTTAGTTAGAAGATGTGCACGCCTATGTACTTCGAGGTGCCAAGATTAGTATTCTGAGAATTTACTCCAGCTTATTCTTCAAATTATACTATAATGTACAGTTAACAATAATTACCATTTTTTAAAGCCTCTATACTATTCGCAATTTGTTTAATGATTTTTACTGGTTGTATAATTTTTAGCAAGACGTCCACTTGGTTATCGTTGATGACCTAATGGATGAATCAGAAATGCGTTACAGTAAACCAGTCTGGTACAGACAAGTGGGAGTAAAGCAAGCTATAATTGACTGTCTAATTTTTGAAGCAAGTGCTACCTACCTAGTTTTAAAATATTTTTCTGATCACAAGTATTTTCCTCAAATCCAGAAGGAGCTACTAGATAACATTTCACCCACTGATACTTCACAATTACTAGAACTTACAAATTTTAACTTGGAAGACTATGAATTTTATGAAAATTTTGTGAAGTCTTATCCATTTTTAGTACATAGTGTTACATCCGTGATGTACATGGTTGGTATTAATGATCCAGAGCTTCACTCTCTAGTGAAAAAGTTTTGTATGGACGTTTGTATATTTGGAAAAAGATATGTAAGTATATTTTAAGAGAGACTTTTTAATTATTTTCTATACAAGATTTTATTCTATAAAAGATAAAAATTATTAAAACCCACAGTTTTTCCTTGATAATCCGACGTGTATTGGACCAAAGGAGTGTCGGATTATCAAAAGCCTTATTAAGTATTATTGACCCATAATCATTTTAGCTTTGTCGTTTATTTTGCTTAGTACGGTAAATGTATACAAGCAGGATTTGTTTCTCTTTTCTCTGTCTCTCTTTTTCCAATGGCCTACAGCCCAAATCGGGTCTTGCGAAGTCTGTAAAGTTTAATGAATTCTGAGATCGGTGTCTCTTTGAACAGTTGGTAGACTTCATGGTTGTACCTGCATCTCCATATTCCGTTTTCGTTAATAGGTCCAAATATCTTTCTTAGGACTTTTCTTTCGAAAACTTCCAGTTTTCTGTTTGTCTCTTCTGTCATCACCCATGTCTTGCATGCATAACATACTATTGGTCTGATAATAGTTTTATAGACCCTGATTTTCGATCTCCGGTGTGTATTTGTGGAGCGGAACACATGATCGAGTGAAAAATAAGCTTTGTTTCCCTTTACTATTCTTCTTTGAATTTTGGTTCTACTGTTCCATCTGTGTTTAATGCAACTCCTAAATATGTGAAACTTTCTACCGTTTCAATATCGTCCTCTAGTGCAACTGTAGGGTTGAAACTATGTCTCAATATCGTTAACTTTGTCTAATATACCACCAAGGGTAGCCTACGTTATGCTTAAATTAAAAAGAACGTCTTTGAAAATTATACAGGTATACGCACCAACAAGTTCATATACCGATGAAGACATTGAAAACTTCTACGAAGAACTAACACTCGCTATGGAAGAAAGAGAAACTAAATTGACGCTAATAATTGGAGACTTCAATGCCAAATTAGGGGAAAGAATAGATGGAGAAGAACACAGAATTGGAGAGTATGGATATGGCGAAAGAAATAATAGAGGACACACATTAATGAACTACTTGGAGGAGAAACAACTTTTTGCTATGAACTCGTTTTTTAACAAAAAACCACAAAGAAAATGGACATGGATAAGTCCCAACGGTAATACAAAAAACGAAATAGATTACATCCTCACAACACAAAAAACCATTATCAAAGATGTTACAGTACTGAACCGCTTCTCAACCGGTAGCGATCATAGACTTGTCAGAGCCAAACTCAGGATTAATAGCCAATTCGAAACAAAAAAGAAAAGGAAAATGTATCGAAACTAGATATGGAAAAACTTAAGCAATTAAAAGACGAATATAAACAAAAAAAAAGGGAAGGTATACCGGTCACTAGAGATTTGGAAAACAAAAATATAGATGAAATAAATTAGCTATTAACCGATACATTAGCAAAGGCGGGAAAAGAGGTAGCACAAACAAGAACAAAAAAGGAAAACTATGTATCCCAGGAAACAAAAAATCTGGTGAGTAAAAGAAAGACATTACTGAAACAAGATAAGAGAAACACAGTAGATTACAAAGAGGTAAACAAAGCTATCAGAAGAAATATCAAGGAATATAAAAGGAGCCTACATGAAGAAAAAATAAAAAAAGCAATTAAACAAAATAAATTCATGAAGCACTTAAAACCACAGCTTGGAACCATACCAATTAATGGTATAATGAACAAAGAAGGTACAGAGACCAATAATATAGAGGAAATCATACAGATTACACAAGAATATTATAAAAACCTCTACAATACAAAACAGAAACCAACCCAAGAAAGCCTTAAGCAACTACAAATAAAAATAAAAAATGTTAATTCCGACTTACAACCAGAAATCAGTAAGAACGAGATAAGAAGAGCACTCAAAGAGATGAAGAATATTAAATCGCCAGGAAAAGACGGGGTGACTGTAGAAATGCTAAAACGTGGTGGGAAAACAACTAGAGAAGTTTTGTACATACTTATGAATAAAATACTAATGACAAAACAAATACCCAACGGTTGGAACGAAGCAATAACACTGTTACTATTTAAGAAAGGAGATAAAAAGGATCTAAAGAATTACAGACCCATAACTTTACTAAATGTGATGTATAAACTATTAACCAAAATATTAGCAAATAGATTAACAACTAAATTAGATGGATACCAGGCAAGAGAACAAGCCGGATTTAGAAAGAGTACAAGTGACCACCTTTTAACGATGAAGATTTTAATCGAAAAAACTAACGAATATCATATCCCGCTATACATGGCATTTATTGACTTCGAGAAGGCATTTGATAGTCTGGAACACTGGGCAGTACCGAATTCGCTACAAAACAGCAGAATAGACTACCGATATACCGACTTAATTACAAATACATACAACAAGGCAACAACAACTATTAAGCAAATGAAACAAACGGAGCCTATTAAAATAAACCGAGGAGTAAGACAAGGAGATACCATATCGCCCAAGCTATTCAACCAAGCGCTAGAAGATGTTTTCAAACGACTACACTGGGATGGCTTGGGAATTAAGATAAACGGGCAAAATCTGAATCATTTACGATACGCTGATGATATTGTATTATTAACAGAAAAAGTGAAGAATTACAAAGAATGATGGAAGAACTAGATAGAGAATCGACAAAAATTGGACTCAAGAGGAATTACAGTAAAACAAAAACCATGACTAATTAACCAGAAGAAGTAATAATTACAGTGGCACAAACAAGAATAGAACAAGTAAAAGAGTATATATATATATATATATATATATATATATATATATATATATATATATATATATATATATATATATATATATATATATATATATATATATCTAGGCCAAATCACTAAATTAAATAAAGAAAATCAGACCAAAGAAACAAACAGAAGAATAACATTGGCCTGGGCATCATTCGAAAAACTGTCTTATATTCTAAAGAATTCAAAATATCCCCAATACCTAAAAACGAGAGTCTTCAATCATTGTATACTTCCTGTCCTCACATATGGCTCTAAGACATGGACGTTTACAAAGGAAAATATGGAAAAATAGCAAAGACAGAAAGTTCTATGGAAAGACAAATGCTTAACATTAAACTATCAGACAGAAAAAGAAACGAATGGATCCGTAATAAAACAAAAGTGACAGATGTCTCAACCCAAGTAGCAAAGCTTAAATGGAAGTTCGCCGGACACACCCTAAGGCAGAAAGATGAAAGATGGACTAAGACAATTATATATCGGAGACCATGGAATCACAAACGAAAAAGGGGGCCACAAATGCGATGGTCAGATGACCTGAAGAAACACGCCGGGTCAAAATGGATGCAAATTGCCCAAGATAGAGAGGCATGGAAGAAGGAGGAGGAGGCCCATGTCCAAGGATGGATGTTTAGGGCTGTATAGATAGATAGATAGTTCAACTGTGCGTCTGTTTCCCTTAGCTCTTGCCTGTGTTAACTTTTTGTCTTTTGAATATTTATTTCTAGTCCAGTCTCTTTTACCTTTGTTTTTAATTGTGAATATATTTATGCCGCCTCTTCTGTTCTGCGAGACATGATGCTAATATCATCGGCATAGGCGGCAATCAGTATAGAATTATTTGTTAGGAGATTACCTCTTCCTATATTCAGGTGTATTTTCACATATTCCAAGATCAGGTTGAATAGTGTCAGTGCCAACCCGTCTCGTTGCTTTAAGCCTAGGACTGTTGTAAAGTTTTCAGTGAGCTCATTTTGGACTCTGACAGTTGCTATTGACGAATTCATTGTTATTTTCACCATTCGGATATATTTTTGGGGGATATTAAAGCCTAAAGTGCCATGGGAGATCAACGTGATCCCCCATTCTGCTTAAACATTTTAATGCCTTCTGGCCATGGGAGATCAATGTAAACCGACGGACCAGAAATCACTTAGGGCCCCATCGCATAACACTGATTTTAATTTAGAAATATGTGAATCAAAAAAACATTTCAAACAAAAGTGTTTTTGACATACGTTGCATCTAAACTTGGTTTTGGCGGTCCTATTTTTGGTAACTTGATGCCCTGATTCCTCTGAAATTTTGGCGTAGCATCCACTCTTCGTCTGACCTCAGACCTCTTCTTCTGACTGTCCTCAAGATTGTGACTTGGTTTCTGGTTGTCCTTGAAATTTGGTAGATCTGCAGCTTTTAGAAGACCTTTGATCACTTCTTCTCATAGACATTTTGTCATTAGTTATGAGTTGATGGAGCACATAAGCGTTTACAACACAGGAACCAACTATAAATTCGATAGCTAGTTTTTTATACCATTTTACTCCACCCTTATAGAGGCGTAGGGATGTGGCGACCCCACCGCCCAAAGGTATTTTAACCTTTGCAGTCAGCCTAAGGTAGCAAGAAGATACTCTTCTTCGACCCCGGTAGAAGACAGATCTGCTAAAGGGACGCAACCCTGCCTTAAGCAAGCCTTGACCTTCTCCACAGTCACCTAAGAAGGAGAAGTCATGTCCTAACCAAAAATTTCCATCAAATTCGTACATATCCATCACACATCCTAACCCACTACCAATACGCACTGGCCCGCGCGGTAGTAAAACGGCTAAACCCCCCTCCTCTATTCATGTATACAAAATTCAGGAAACGAACGGCCCTCAGTGCCCGGCGACTCCACTACCTCCGACCAAGGTAGCGGTCGGAAGAAAGACGGAGTAGAGAGTGCTAGGAATCCCCTGGTTAAACTAGGCTACCATAGACGACAACCTATGCATATTGCTTCGTCTAATGTGAAAACAATGTCATCAGAGTCTAAATTGTTAGAAATGGAGAAAGAGCTAAAATCAATAAAGTGGGACGTAATGGGTCTCAGCGAAGTCAGAAGAAGAGGAGAAGAACAATATACTCTTAAATTTGGCCACTTATTCCATTTAAAGGGAGAAGACAATTCATCAATTGGTGGAGTTGGATTTATCGTACACAAACGACATGTACCAAACATATTAAAAATAGAAAGTGTAAGCTCGAGAGTTATCACTCTAATCGTAAAGTTGAATTCGAGATATAAATTAAAATTGATACAAGTGTATTCACCAACGACAAGCCACACAGATGAAGAGATTGAAATGTTCTTTGAAGATATTAGAACAGACCTGAAAAGTACTAAGACGTTGTATACTCTGACAGGAGATTTTAATGCTAAGCTGAGAAATAAAGAAGACCAAAGTGAAACCGTACTAGGAAACTACGGCTATTGAGAAAGAAATGAAAAAGGGACCATGCTTGTAGATTTTTACACCAACAAAATCTTTTTTCTATGAACTCATTCTTTCAAAAAACGCCCCAACAAAAGTGTACGTGGAAATATCCAGACGGTTTCACAAAGAACGAAACAGATTTTATCATCGCTAATAAAAAAGAAATTGTACAAGATGTATCTGTTTTACAATTGGAAGCGATCACAGATTCATTCGAGCAAAAATTCTGTTCAATTTAAAGAATGAACGAAAAAAAAAATGATAAAATCAGACAATCGTAAATGGACCCCACCCGAAAATACAAACCACTGTCGTGACATCATTGACCATAACCTTCAACAAATCAACGACGAAACATAGGTCGAAGTTTTAAACAAAAGTATCGTAAAAGCCCTTAAAGAAGCGAAGAAGTTCTGTTGTCCTAAAATGAAGAAAAAACATGAGAAAATAAGTCTCAACACTAAAAATCTGATCGAAAAAAGAAGTAGGCTAAAGGACAGGTATAACACTAACTACGCAGAATTTCGTCAACTCAGTAAAACAATAAACAAAGAAATCCGAAAAGACATACGGCAACATAACATGAGAGAGGTGACAAGGGTGATAGAGAAAAATAGAAGTCTGAAAGTTTTAAGACACAAAATGTTCACAGGAAAAAAGGACATACATAAGTTAAGAAATAAACAAGACGACATTGTGACTGATAAGGAAGAAATAGTGAAAACAGTGGAAGACTTCTACAGACAACTCTATGAAACAAGTGAATCCGATGAAAGACGCCCCTTACCAAAGATAGAGAATCAAGGCTCAGAATGAATGCCGAACATAACTGTTGACGAAATAAATCCTTAGGTGAAGACAGGGTAATGACCGAAAGCCTAAAACTAGGAGGAAATAAGCTCTTACTGACACTTGCTAAACTGTTCAATAAATGTCTGTGCGAAGCGATAACACCGACGCGGTGGAACAACGCGGAAATCATCTTACTTCATAAGAAGGGAGATATCAGCGACCTTGGAAACTATCGCTCCATTAGCTTGTTGTCACAAGTATATAAGCTATTTACAAGAGTTATTACCAACAGGCTAGGAAGTAAGTTGGATTTCTATCAGCCAAGAGAGCAAGCAGGTTTTATAGCAGGATATGGCACGAATGATCATTTACAAGTAATTAAGAACTTATAGAAAAGAGTGTTAAATATAACAAGCCATTAGTCATATTTGTTGACTACGAAAAAGCTTTCGACACAATAAGTCATCAAAAGATGTTAAAAGCATTAACAGAGTGCCGTATAGATCATCGCTATATAAACATGATAAAATACATCTATCAAAATGGGTCAGCAAGCGTGAAACTGGCAGATAAAAAGACCAACGTATTTAAAATAAAACGGGGAGTGCGACAGCGAGACACAATTTCGCCAAAATTGTTTACAACATTATTAGAGCATATATTTTAGAACGCATATCTGAGTGAAAAAGGAAATAATGTCAATGGAGAAATGCTTAGTCATTAGAGGTTTGTTGACGATATTGTCCTTTTTGCTGACAGAATCGATGATGCAGTATCTCAACTGGAGAAACTATACCTAGCCTCCCTACAAGTTGGAATAAAAATCAACCACACAAAAACACAAATCATGACAAATCTTGTGTTAAGCGAAAAGATTTCAGCAAATGGCATGCATATTGAAGAAACCACATCTAATAAGTACTTAGGACATGAGATATGCATAAGAAGAGATAATCAAACGTGCGAACTAAGCCGCCGCATAGGACTCACTTGGGTGGCATTCGGCAAGCTGAGCTATGTTCTTAAATCAGAATTGCCTATGTGTCTTAAAAGAAAAGTCTTTAATGAGTGCGTGTTGCCAGTACTTACATATGGTGCAGAGACATTAACACTAACCAAGAAAGTAAGAAATAAAATTTGTGTTACCCAAAGAGCCATGGAACGATCGATGTTAGGCATTTCTCGTAGGGATCGGATCACGAACAAGGAAATAAGACGGAGAACAGGAGTGACAGATGCCATAGAAAGAATTATGACCCTTAAGTGGAACTGGGCGGGGCACATAGCTAGAATGTCGGATAACAGATGGACACAGCGAATAATACAGTGGAGATCGAGACAAGAAGCACATCGAAGTAGAGGTCGTCCACCAACAAGATGGTCTAATGACATAAAACGGATCGACAAAAATTGGATGCAAACAGCACAAAACAGAAATACTTGGAAAAGACTGAGGGAGACCTATATTCAGCAATGGATAGCTCCAGGTTAAATGATGATGATGATTTAGTCCACGGCGCAAAGAAGAATTGTAAGCTTTCATTTGGTCGAATATGTCGATATAAGCTTTGTGTTTGTTATACTCGATGATACTTCTTGGCTTCGTTTTTTCGCCAGATCTTCTGGCCTGAGTGATCATTTCAGGAACATATTAAGTTGTCAACATAAGGACGTCTCTCCTGTCTTTCCATTTCTCTATAAATATTCCTGTGTTGCTTTCTTCGGTAATATGTTCGCCGCATCTTAGTTTTTTCTGAACAACATTTTTTGAGTTTTTTTTTCTGTTGCTTCGTAGATTACATAAAATATATGTATTTTTTTTCAGAAGTTTTGATGCTAATTCAACAGAGGTGTAGTAGTTGTCCACGACGATAGTGCGACCTTGGTTTAGTAAATTTTTTGTTAATTTTGAAAACAACATTTGATGGTACTGACTGCTCCTGATTTGGTTCTCTTTTCTGCCCAGAGCAGATAGAAGCATCATAAAGATATCCGTTTTCAAGGCAGAGCTTAAGGAGCTTGATTCCAAGTTTGTGTCTTCTTGCTAATGTACGGTTTAAATCTAAGTTTGCCTTTAAAAGTTACGAGCGTTTCATCAATGCAGATAAATTCTCCTGGAACAATTGAAGATTGAAAATTCTCGAACAGGTTCGTAAAAAGGGGTGTTATTTTATACAGTCTGTCACCATCAAAAAAATTATCATTATTTGCAAAATGCAACCACATGAAAACGATTTCTGGGCATTACTGTTTTCATGAAGTTATGATATAACTTATTTATAGACCAATAGGATTGAATTGGTGGCAACTAAACAAGGCCCATCCACAAAATATACCCCACAAACTTTTCTATTTTCGAACAATTCGTGTCATTACAGGGTTGAATACGTGCTCTTGGTCTTATAGTTTGCTCCTTTTTTGTGATCTATTTGTCTCTCTAAGAAATAACTCAAATATTTTGTCGGTAACCATTAATTTATAAAAATCGTTTGGAGTTTTTTCATAAACATCATAAAGGTTCTCGTGAATTCTAGGGTTAACCACTGTGAATTGAAAATTCTTCATGTGCGTACCCGATACTTCAAATCATGAAAATACTTCAATAGGCTCAGCAGTGAGTTCATCTGTCAGGGTCTCATCATTGTAATTCATGTTCCACTGAATTACATACTCTATAACATTGTCAATATTATTTCCTGTTTCTGTTACCTGAACTGAATTTTTAGATGTCAGTGGATCTGTCGAAAACACCATTCTTCTTGCAGACTTACTTAGCAAATTTTCTTTGGAAGTGTAGTCAAATTTTTTCCCCGGAGATTTAACAATCTTGATTTTTTTTTCTAGGTATCTCTGCATACTCTTCTAAATGAGACATGTCAGAGTCTGAAGGCGCATATTCACTCATATCAGGGGAAAAGTCTTCGTCACTAGCCGAAAGCACCTCCTCTCACAATTGTTTGGTTTATTTTATCCCACAAACAAACTGAAACGCTGACGACTAGTGCCGGCCGACGAGAATCGTAGAGACCGCTTGCTTGAAGGATGAGCTACGCACGCGTGCGCTCCCCCACTGGCCATTAAGCCAAACACATGCTTTCGGGCCATGGGGGATCAACATAGACCGTCACATAAAAATGGCAAAATCGGGCAAAAAATTTCAAATTTAGGAAAAAAAATGCCAACGAACCTGTATAATAGCTCAAACATTTCTAGAATTTCAAATAAAAACATTTTACCACAGGGTTCCACAAAAATATAATCCCATGGTGGCACTGTACGTGTTAAAGCTCTGCAATATTTTATATAACTTTTTTCTATTAATTGTGTCGTAGGCTTATTTGAAATGTTTTTCTCTCTTCAATGATGTCGAAATGTCAATTTCGCAAAAAATGGAGTTATAAATAGCAACTTATCACTCTAAGACAGCGATATTAATTCATATGAACGCTTATCAAATTTTATAATATCCTTTTCTATTCCAGGATGATATTTCTGTAATTGTAGAATCAATAAGTGTCGCTGAAAAAGACAACACAGATATAGCTTCTTCTAAAGTAACGTGGATGGCTATCCAAGTGTCCAAAATAGGAAGCCCGCAACAAAAGAAAAGGTTTATGGAACACTACGGTAGCTCCGACCCTAAATCAATTTCGATCATTTTTGATCTATACCAAGAACTAAATTTAGTTGAACGTTTCGACAAATACATGATGGATTATTATGACGAGATGTACGCACGAATTCAGAATATGCCTCCACGGCTACCGAAAGAGTTTTTCTGTAATATATTAGATTTGTCCGTATCAAATAAGTTATACGCTTAACATTACAAATATGTTTCTCGAAAAAAAATATATTTATTTATCAAAATGTATGTGTCTTCTTTAAAATAGTAACCGTCAGATATAATAACACTTTACAGTAAAATGCTGATCTCTCTCTGAGCGATTGAGCGTCCACCGTTTGTATCTACCGTTTGTGACATGAACAAGTCGGTACAGTCTGCGAAACATTTTTCGTAAGTACGAACCGCAAAAGAGAGTAATTTCCAAAAACAAATCTGTGTTGTGTACCTATATTAAACATGGAGTTTAAATCGAATCTAAAAAGAAAAGTTTTAAATAACACAGGCTAACATGATTTTTGGTGTTTTGAGTTTGTCCTTAGCTAATACGGGATACGGTACGCTGATTCTAAATATGAACTCGGTTTAAGCCCAAATTTTTCACGAAATTAAAAAAAAAACCTTGTGGGTTAATATGCACTAGTGAAAACAAATACCTTATTAATATTTCGTAAATTGCATTAAAATTATTTGTTTAAAATACTTGATAGATCGATAGAAAATATTTTAATATACACTGCGCTCCAAAATTAACGCATAATTTTAAAATTCTTATTTTCAATTATAATGAAAAAAAATTTTGTTTGTTCTTTTCTGCTTTATGGCTGTTTTAGAACATCTTAAATAAATAAATATAAACATCTAAATATAAATAATAAATAAATCTAAACATCTAAACAAACAACTGATCTAAACAAACCAACATTATAAATTAATGGCGAAATTGAAATTTTTAAAGCTGAAGAAAATACTAGTACCGTGTACTAGTATCGAGTATTGCCTCCTCTGGCAGTTATTACTGCTTGATAACGATCTCTCATACTGAGAATAATCGTTCGGATGTCTTCTTGATCAATTTGATCCCAAATTTCAACCAACCGCAAAAACAGCTCACCTAATGTGTTTGGTGCATTAGGTAGTTGTCGTAGTCGTCTGCCTATGATGTCCCAAACATGTTCTATTGGGTTGAGGTGAGGACTTCTTGCAGGCCAATCCATGACAGGAATTCCAACCTCCTAACGATACTGCTGCACAATTCTTGCCGTGTGTGGCTTGACATTATCTTGCATAAGCATGAAATTATCCCTAATAAATGGTGCAAATGGCACGGCATGGTCTTCTAAATTGTCTGTTATATACCTCTGAGATGTAAGCTTACCGCGATCTATTCTAACTAATTCTACAAGAGCCTCTAAATTAATCCCACCCACACCATTACCGAGCCGCTGCCATACTGAACAGCCCTACGGCGTTACACTGTGCGTAGCGTTCCCCAGTCCTTCTGCACACTCGGTTTCTCCTTTCATCAGAAAAATATAGTACCTGGATTCATCGGTGAACAATATTCTTCCCCAATCGTCATTATTCCAATCAAGATGTTCACGCGCAAAATGCAATCTTTGCCATCTATGGTTTCTGGTCAACAATGGGCCAATTGGTGCCCTTCCAGGGTGTAGGTCGTTTTCTGCAAGTCTTCTTCTAATCGTATTTTGGCTGATTCTAAAGTTATAACGATCCAAAAAATTCTTTTTGTAGAGAAGTACTGATAACAAATCTTTGTCTCAGTGTACGAAGTGTTGTAACCCTTCTACGGCGTTGACCGGATCTTTCCTAGTTACTTCCAGTAACAGAAAAACGTGTTAACACTCTAGAAATGTTTGACTGGGTGACGTTAAAACGTTCAGCGAGTTCTACTTGAGTGTATCCTTCTTCGCGAAGAGTAACGATTCTAAAACAGTCACTTTCTGACAAATTTCGATTTTCTTGCTGCTGGTGGTTCATTTAAAAAAAACACTTAATAAACTTGAAAAACCCCTTTAAACGTTCAGCATAACGTAATCCAACTCAACTAAATTAGAAATAAGATGAAGCACAATTGATATGTTTTTAATTTTTTTGCAAAAAATCGTAAAAATAGCGTTTTTTACCGTTCTTTCGATAAATTTTCCAATATACCGGGGGTAACAATAATACATTAGCACCAAAATCGAAACGTTAAAATTATTTGATTTACCAGGGTTTTTAAAATTATGCGTTAATTTTGGAGTGCAGTGTATTATTATGTTAGTTTCATTTGAATGGCAACACTGCCCATCACGTCAAAATTTTCACAAAATTGAAAAACCTTGTGAGATATTATATACTAGCGCAAACAAGTACCTTATTCGTGCTTGTAAAGTTTGGTGATCAGGACGAACCTTGGGCTCCACACAAAATGTGCTTTTAGTGTGTCAAACTACTGATAAAATGGACAAGAGTTACATGTAACTCTTCATCCTTCGGCATACCTATGGTATGGAGGGAACCAAAAAAACCATGGAGACGGCAAAAGGCTCTTGCGATATCAAGAGTTTCACTTCAAAAAAATAACACAAAATTCAATATCCTAATTTACCTTTTGCAAACTAGTACTTAGCGCAAACCAGTACCTTATTGGTGCTTGTAAAGTTTGGTAATCAGGACGAACATTGCGCTCCACACAAAGTGTGCTTTTAGTGTGTCGAACTACTGAGAAAATGGACAAAAGGTACATGTAACTCTTTATTTTTTGGCATTCCTATGGTATGGAGGGAAATAAAAAAACATAAAGGCGACTGCTACTTTTTCTCTTGCGATATAAAGGGTTTCTATTCAAAAAAAATAACATAAAATTCAATATACTAATTTACCTTCTGCTAAACGACCTATATCTCATAAACCAGGAATTCCTATTCCTCCAACTTTTATTCACGACATCCAACAGCAATCATCAGATGAAAGTTTAGACGAAAAAACCGATGAAGATGAATTCAATCCTGAGATAGACCAACCTCAAGAGTTCAAAGTTCAAAAATTCAAGCTGAACTAAATGACTTAGTGAGGGGCTTGGGCCTATCGAAGGATGCTGCATAAATCTTGGGTTCACGACTAAAAGAAAAAAATCTATTGACTCCAGGTACCACATTTTCGTGGTATAGGCATCGTAAAAAAGAGTTCGCGGATAATTGTTCTCAAGTGGGCTCACGGGTTTATTTCTGAAATATATAATATTTCTGAAGAAGTTATGAAACTGGGAGCTGACAATTACGATTCCACATCATGGCGGTTATTTAATGATTCTTCTAAGAGAAGTTTGAAGAGTGTCTTGTCGCACAATGGTAATACTTGTAACTCAGTGCATGTTGCTCACTCCGTGCATCTCAAAGAAACATATGAGAATCTTGAGCTGTTGCTAAATAAAATAAAGTATAGCGAATATTGTTGGCAACTCTGTTGAGATCTCAAAATAATATCCATGCTTTTGGGTCAGCAGTCTGGATTCACAAAGTATCCATATTTTTTTAGGTTAGTGGTACAGTTACTTTAAGAAAGAGTGGCGACTCAGAGAAAGACTAGTATTGGGACAAAAAAATGTGCAACGTTGACCCAAAATTAGATATTTTGCTTTCTCTTCACATAATGTTGGGATTAATGAAGCAGATTATCAAAGTTTTAGATAAACAATGTGACTGGTTTAAATACCTGTTCGACAAATTTTCTGTACTTTCTGAAGCTAAACTTAAATAGGGAATTCACGAAGGCCCTCAAACTCGAACCTTAAAATCGGACAGATTGTTCCAGAATACAATGACCCATAATGAAACTGAAGTATAAAGTTCTTTCGTAGAACTCAAAGACGGTTTCCTCGAAAACAACAAGTCTCCAAACTATAAAAATATTGTAGCTAACTTGGTCGAAAATTATAAAAAACTGGGATGCAATATGAGCGTCAAACTTCATTTTTTGGATTCCCACGTTGACTATTTTCCCAAAAATCTTGGAGCTGTCAGCGAGGAGCTCGAAGAATGGTTTCATCAAGATATTAATGAGATGGAAAGATGTTACCAAGGAAGATGGGATATAAAATAGTGGCTGATTACTGCCGGATCGTGAAGAGAGAATCGATCACAAAAATCCATAAAAAGAAGACCACAAAATGAAATTTTTATGGAAAAAGAGAACGTTTTTTATTAAAAAACAACCAAATATTGTCTAACGTAGGTTATACTGAATTCTCTTTTTAAGTTATTAAGAACAACTCAATTTTGCAGTGTAATGTTAGGCAGACAGAATTTTTGACAGTTTCTATGGAAAATTTCAAACACACTTTTCTTGCAAACCTGACTTGCTGAAAAAAAAACTAAGTACAGATTCTTATCAGCACATCCCATTTACCATAGGACACCTATTCAACTTACTTTTTCATGAAAATAAAAATGTAGACCTGTGTAGTCAGAGTATTAATGCAGTGAGTAATACAAAATATACAAAATACCTTGGTGTTCAAATCGACTCATATCTACATACATACATACGTCCATGCATATCTACGATGGGATAACTGTTTATTTACCTTGAACCAATTACAGAACTATAAAATAAAATTAATATTTTTAAATATTTATTGTAATGTAATTATTTTATTGCAATATTATTAATTGTATATTTCATGGACATAAACGTTATTATTATAATTATTATTATTATTATTCAGAGTTAGCCATACGGCTCACACTCCCTCTAAGGGGAAAATTCACTCATCCCAGATACCTACGGTATCAAAAGGATTGAGCTCTGGTGGGACTCTTTCCGTGTTATCGAGCCCTAGGTGACTTGGTATGCTGGAGTATCTCCCAAAAATTTTCGTACACATCGGGATGTTGAGAGTAGTACAGCTTTTTGCATGGTCTTGTAGAGATGTTCATTCAGACCTAGCTTTTTTATATTTTCTAGGAGGTTCTTTGGAATGACTCCAGTAGTAGAGAGAATAATAGGTATTGTCTGGGTACTTTCCATTTTCCACTGTCTTCGTATTTGAATTTCCAAATCCCTGTACTTGGCGATTTTTTCGTTCTGTTTAACACGAAGATTATTGTTGTTGGGTATCGCCACATCAATTAATGTTGTTTGTCTCTTTAGTTTATTAACTAGTATGAGATCTGGTCTATTATGTGCCACTGT